GATTGGATTTCTCACAGAACTGAGCAAATAACTCCTCCCACCATATTATGATGTTCCCCAAGTTTTGGACTCAATCTGATATCGATTGGTCCATGAAATCGGACAATTCAGGTTCGTACAAAATTTCGTTCTGAAATGGAGTGGTTGGTGTATTGCATAGTTTTAGCCATTGGATTTCATGCAAAACCCACCAAAAGACTCCCCCACCATATTATGATGTTCCTCAAATTTTGGACTCAATCTGATATAAATTGGTCCATGAAATAGGACAATTCAGGTTTGCACAAAATTCGTTCTGAAATGGAGTGGTTGGTGTATTGCATAGTTTTAGATTGGGTTTCACACAAACCACCAAATGACTCCTCCCACCATATTATGATATTCCCCAAGTTTTGGACTCAATCCGATATATATTTGTCCAAGAAATTGGACTATTCATGTTCGTACGAAGTTTGTTCTCTAATGGAGTGGTTGGTGTATTGCATAGTTTCGGCAATTGGATTTCACTCAATACTCACCAATGGACTCCTCCCACAACATTATGTTGTTCCCTAAGTTTTGGACTCAATCTGATATCGATTGGTCCATGAAATTGGACAATTCAGGTTTGTGCGAAGTTCGTTCTGAATTGGAGTGGTTGGTGTATTGCATAGTTTTGGTAATTGGGTTTCACTTAAAACACACCAAATGAATCCACCCCAAAACATTATGATGTTCTCCAAGTTTTGGACTCAATCCGATATTGATTGGTCAATGAAACTGGACAATTCAGGTTCGTACGAAGTTCGTTCTTAAATGGAGTGGATGGTGTAATGCATAGTTTTAGAGATTGGATTTCACTCAAACCACCAAATGACTCCTCCCACCATATTATGATGTTCCCCAACTTTCGGACTCAATCCGATATCGATTGGACAATTCAGGTTCGTACGAAGTTCATTCTTAAATGGAGTGGTTGGTGTATTGCATTGTTCTACTGATTGGATTTCACTAAAAACTCACCAAATAAATCCTCCCACCATATTATGATGTTCCCCAAGTTTTGGGCTCAATCCGATATCGATTGGTCCATGAAATCGGACAATTAAGGGTCGTACGATGTTTGTTATGAAATGGAGTGGTCGGTTTACTGCATAATTTTAGCCATTGTATTTCACTCAAAACACACTCAATGACTCCTCCCTCCATATTATGACGTTCCCCAAGTTTTGCGCACAATTCGAAACTGATTTGCCCAAGAAACTGGACTATTCATGTTCGTACGAAGTTCGTTCTCTAATGGAGTGGTTGGTGTATTGCATAGTTTTAGCAATTGGATTTCACTCAAAACTCTCCAAATGACTCCTCCCACAACATTATGATGTTTTCCAAGTTTTCGACTCAATCCGATATCAATTGGACAATGAAATTGGACAATTCAGGTTCGTACGAAGTTCGTTCTAAAATGGAGTGGCTGGGGTATTGTATAGTTCTAGAGATTGGAGTTCACTCAAAACTCACCAAATGACTCCTCCCACAACATTATGTTGTTCCCCAAGTTTCGGCATCAGTCCGATATTGATTGGTTCATGAAATAGGACAATTCAAGTTCGTACGAAGTTTGTTTTGAAATGAAGTGGTTGGTGTATTGCATAGTTTTATCCATTGGATTTCACTCAAAACACACCAAATGACTCCTCCCACCATATTATGATGTTCCCCAAGTTTTGGACTCAATCCGATATCGATTGGTCCGTGAAATTGGACGATTCAGGTTCGTACGAAGTTTCTCTCAAATGGAGTGGTTGGTGTATTGCATAGTTTTATCCATTGGATTTTACTCAAAACACACCAAATGACTCCTCCCACCATATTATGATGTTCCCCAAGTTTTGGACTCAATCCGATATCGATTGGTCCGTGAAATTGGACGATTCAGGTTCGTACGAAGTTCGCTCTGAAATGGAGTGGTTGGTGTATTGCATAGTTTTATCCATTGGATTTCACTCAAAACACACCAAATGACTTCTCCCACCATATTATGATGTTCCCCAAGTTTTGGACTCAATCCGATATCGATTGGTCCCTCAAATTGGACGATTCAGGTTCGTACGAAGTTCGCTCCGAAATGGAGTGGTTGGTGTATTGCATAGTTTTATCCATTGGATTTCACTCAAAACACACCAAATGACTCCTCCCATAACATTATGATGTTCCCCAAGTTTTGGACTCAATCCGATATCGATTGGTCCATGAAATTGTACAATTCAGGTTCGTGTGAAGTTTGTTATGAAATGGAGTGGTTGGTGTGTTGCATTGTTCTGGAGATTGGATTTCACTCAAACCCCATCAAATGACTACTCCCACCATATTATGAAATGGAGTGGTTGGTGTGTTGCATTGTTACAGCTATACCCTATAGTTTGGGGAATACCAAAGTGATGAAGACAAAGATAATTCGAGTTCTACATAAAGAAGGTGGTGTGTACCGAGGTATGTGTGCTGGAATTGTAGAAAAAAGAAAGAAAAAAGAAACAAAGTTTTAGGAAAGAAAAGAAAAAAAATCAAAGAGGATGTAATTTCTAAATCCTTCCATTATCGCACGAATCCTGGATGCCACGAACAAACAACAAAGATCAATTCAAGAGGAGAGCTTGCTGCTTTCACAAGGAAGACACTTCGGTATGTCCCAAGCTTTAGGATTTCCTATCCTTTCTTTCATAGCCCCTGACCTAAGCCTTAACATTACAAACCTTGTGAAAGACCTAGCTGATCTTTGAGGATGTATTCATGAGTGATGCTAAGTATGTGTGCTATCCATATTCTTAGTGTTTGATTCCCTTCATGAGATCTGTCCAGAAATTGTGCTTTTATTTCATATTTCATATGTGAGGATTTTGATTTCCTTTTACATAACTTCACTCACATATGTTTGAGGAGAGACCGTGCCTTAGGATCTGAGTGAAAATTTGAGTGATATCTGTGAGGACTAGAGTTGAGGCGATTTCTATCTTTGGCATTTGAGTATGGTATCTTTGAAGTCATGGGACATAGAGTAATTATTTTTTTTTACACTTTATGATATGATTCTTTCAAGTGGCAGACTAGTGGTTTGAATGTATGACTAAGCTTTCATTGGTTCTTATTAGTTTGCTATAAGTATGCTTTAACCAATTTGCTTGCAAGTATGCAGATGTTTGTGGGTGTCATCACTGTAAACCCTCAGGAGACACAACTCCTCCTACTAGGGACACCTAGGGGTTTAAAGGCTTGTTGCACATGCTCAGTGCAATCGTTTAGCCAGCGAAAGTGGTCTAGTTAGATTTTAGTGTCTTGTGTGTTTTCAGTTTCAGTTTTGCTCGAGGACTAGCAAAAATCAGGTTTGGGGGTATTTGATAACTCATATATTTATACATTTATACCATCCATTCTAGTCTATTTGTGATGTTTTTGAGTTAAACATGTTGCGTTTTACCCTATTTTGTGTTAGTATGCAGTTGCACCTACTTTAGGATCAAGTTGAAGGCAAAAGAAATCAAAACATGTCATTTTTGGAGCTGGCCATTATTCAAACGTGGAAAGAAATTTCGTGACCTGTTTTGAAGTCCAAATAAAGATCCAAAGTGAACCTGGCTTGTTTAAAGACTAAGAGCGGAATGGGAAAGTAATGGGGATTTCTAGCCTGATTTGGAGGTGCCAAATAAGGCAAAAACGTGCAAAATAAAGGCTGATTTATTAGGATCTCTTTGGAATATCTGACAGCCTCTTTTACCCCATAAAAACTTGCCTTTTAGCCACTTTCACAGACCCTATTTATTTTGGACGAATTTCACAACCCTAGACATCCTTCTTTTTGTTATTCTCCCCTTTCACACACACTTAAACCCTAGCCGCCCATATATTTCCACCATCAAGACTCATCGCAGGAGGCTGTTCTTGGAGAAGTTCAACATCAGAATTGGTTCAAGGGTTTCCTCTCATGAATTTATTTTCACTCATGTTGTTTATTTTCGTTTTAATCTTTGTGAACATGATGTGTAACTAAATTCATAGCTAGGGATTTCGATGTAGCCTTGCAACATTGACCATGTTTCTAAGTTAAAGTATTCAGTTCATCAATCTGTTTCTTGTTTCATTCACTGAATCTATTGTTAAATTTGTTTGTCAATTTTAATGTTTGATCACCATTAGGGTTGCCTACAGATTATCTGGTCAAGGTTATTGTAAACATCATGCTTAATCTTGGTAGACATGTGAATGAATGAAGAGAATGCTATGCAAACATCCTGCCATGTGTTTTCTTCGGTTCTTTAACGTTTTCTTGCATGGTAATGACTCTTAACTTGGAACCAAAGTTGAACATCCCAATTAGGTTTGCATATTAGGAGAATTTGATCAAAACCACACATCATATGGCTGATCATATATATGTAAAACGAACTCTGGAAACAGGTTGGTAGTTGAATACGGTTTAATTTATAAACATGGAATTGGTTTTGCAATGGTGAATTCGAAATCCCTGGTCTCATCCCTATTCTTCTTACATCAATATCTCATTCGCTGCTACATTCGTCTTGCATTTTAAGTTATCTTTCATTTACAACACAAACTACTCTCAATTTGTCACTTTCACTTTTAGTTAGGGTTCTTTCAAAACTAGTAATTATAGAGGTCCAATCGGTCCCTGTGGTTCGACACCCTTACTTGTACCATTATACTAACCATATATTGGCACTTGGAAGGGAACACAACAAAATTTTGGCGCCGTTGCCGGGGACTGATTTCAGTCCTCTGTGATTGCTTGTTCTCAAACCCTAATTTCGTTTTATTTTTGTTTTCAGGTAGTATATGTCAGATACACTTGCTGAAATAGGCCAAAGACTTGAACGGTTAAAGAGCAACACTTTTGAGAATTCTGTATCAACTAGTGCCCAGACTAGCCGTATAGAAGAGGACAATAGTTCTTCTAGCCCAACGAGTGTAGATTCTTCGATAACTCTAACTCTGACGGAGAAGAAGAGATGGCTGGCAATAACGATGACAACCGAGCTTTGGAAGATTATGCTCAACCGGTTATACCAAATTCACCTTCGTGCATCTTGCTGCCTACTGAAGCTAGAAATTATGAACTCAAATCTTCTCATTTTCACATGCTTCCTTCTTTTTATGGTTTACCTAACGAAGATCCATTATCCCATATTAAGGAATTCTACAATGTTGTGAGTGGTTTACCCTTTGCAGGGAGTGAGTGAAGCAAATCTGAGGATGAGGGTTTTTCCTTATACATTGAAAGATAGAGCAAAGAATTGGCTAATGACTTTAGCACCTGGTTCGCTCACCACTTGGGATGCCGTAGCTAAGAAGTTTCTGGAGAAGTTTTTCTCAACTCAAAAGACAGCTACGTTGAGAGGGCAAATCTTTAACTTTAAACAAGATGATGGAGAACCTTTCAATGAATGTTGGGAGCGTTTCAAAGGCCTGTTGCTGCAATGTCCCATCATGGGTTACCTCTTTACTTACAAATGCAAATTTTTTATGATGGACTAACCCAAACATGTCAATCAACTGTGGATAATGCAGCAGGTGGAGCTTTGAAGAAGAAGAATGCGCAAGAGTCATATAACATTTATGAGATGTTGGGATCTAATGCTCAACACAAAGATACAAGAGGTAAACGAGTTGGAATGTATGAAATGAGTTCTAATAATGATCTTGCTTTGCAGGTGGCTAGTTTGGAAAAGAAGCTCGATTCTGTGCTCAATATGGCGCCTAAGATAGCTGAGGTGTGTGCCATTTGCAACATACCAGGTCATCCTACTTATCAATGCTCAGCTAGTGAGGCTTATCCCGAATTCGTTCAAGAGCAAGTGAATCTCATGAATTCTTACAATCAGAGGCCGAGGAATGACCCATTCTCTAATACATATAACCCTGGTTGGAGAGATCATCCCAATCTCTCATGGAAGAATAACAATCAATTTCAAAATTTCCAACCAAAGCCTGCCACTACGCTTGAAGATACTGTCAAAATGCTAGCTCAGAACACCGTTCAATTCCAGCAAACTACCAATAGTACTCTCCAACAACATTCAGCTGCTCTAACCAAAATGGAGACACAATTAGGTCAGATTGCTGATGCTTTGAGTCAAAGAGAACCCGGGAAATTTCCAAGCCAACCGGTGATACTTCAAAGGAACCAAGAGCAGGCCAAAGCGGTCATAACACTTAGAAGTGGTAAGGTTATTGATAATAGAGTTGGCAATGAAGTTACTAATGAATCTGATCATGTGAATGCAGGCCCCACTCAAGAAGAGCATGAGAAACCGAATGAAGATCCAAGCAATGCCACTTCTTCGTATGAAGCTCCAAATTTTCACAAGGCTGAAAAACCCTTACACTCCTCCAATCCCATTTCCTGGAAGACTTGCCAAAAGCAAGCAGGAGAAGTCATTTAAAGAAATTTTTGATATTTTAAGTAAAGTGAATGTTAATTTACCTTTGCTTGATGTCATTAGGAATATGCCAGCATATGGGAAATTTTTCAAGGAGCTAAACACTTATAAGAGGAAGTATGGACCTAATGAAAAGGTGATGGTGTCTGAAAATGTGAGTGCTGTGCTTCAAAGAAAGCTCCCACCAAAACTCAAGGATCCGGGCAGTTTTTCTATCAATATCACCATTGGAGACACGCTAGTTTGAAAAGGCTATGCTTGACTTGGGGGCGAGCATCAATTTAATGCCCTATTCAGTGTACCTTCAATTAGGGTTTGGGGGGTTTGAAGGCAACAACTATTTCATTTGCAACTTGCCGATCGATCAGTGAAATATCCAAGAGGTATAGTGGAAGATATCTTAGTTCAAGTTGACAAACTAATTTTGCCTGCTGATTTTGTAGTGTTGGACATGGAAGAGGCTCCTATACATGATCGTGAGTTACCTATTTTGCTTGGGAGACCCTTTATGGCCACGGCAAAGACTATCATAGATGTGCAAAATGGTCTCCTCACCATGACTGTGCTAGGAGAAACTGTACAATTCAAAGTGTTTGAATCTCTTTCTCACCCTTCTAGTTCACTTGATTGTTGTTCGATTGATGTGCTTGATTCACTTGTTTTCTCTAAGTTTTTGCTGGCACAATCCAATGATCCATTACAATATGTTTTGAGTCAATCTCAAGATGAATTTGATGAAGAAGTGCTCATGGAGATGGTGGCAGCCTTGGAAGCATTAAAACCATATCCCTCCACTTTTTCACCTCTTATAGAGCCATTAGGACCATCTGCCACACATCTGACCCCTTCTGTTGTTAAACCTCCAAAACTTGAGCTTAAAACCACTTCCATCACATCTAAAATATGCTTACCTAGCTGAGTTTGAAACTCTCCCAGTTATCATAGCATCTGACCTCACCCCTTTGGAAGAAGAGAAGCTAATTAGGGTGCTAAAAGAGTTCAAATCAGCCATTGGTTGGTCTATTGCAGATATCAAGGGAATAAGCCCTACCATGTGCATGCATCGTATTTTATTGGAGGAGGGAGCGAAACCAACTCGTGAACCACAAAGAAGGCTCAATCCACACATGAAGGAAGTAGTGAGAGCTGAAGTGTTGAAGTTGCTAGATGTGGGTATCATATACCCGATTTCAGATAGCAAATGGGTCAGCGCTGTTCACGTAGTGCCTAAGAGGATTGGAATCACAGTGGTAAAAAATGAGCATAAAGTGCTTGTTCAAATGAGACCTGCAGCTAGTTGGCGTGTTTGCACCGATTACAGGAAGTTGAATTCGTACACTAGAAAAGATTATTTTCCTATGCCTTTTATTGATCAAATGCTTGAGCGATTAGCTGGTCACGCATATTATTGTTTTCTTGATGGATATTCAGGTTATAATCAAATTGCGATTGCTCCGGAAGATCAAGAGAAGACTACATTCACCTGTCCTTTTGGCACTTTTGCATATAGGAGGATGCCGTTTGGCCTTTGCAATGCCCCAGCAACATTCCAACGATGTATGCTGGCAATCTTTTCAGATATGATTGAGAGATTTATTGAGGTATTCATGGACGATTTTTCAGTTTTTGGTTCTTCTTTTGATACTTGTCTTAACCATCTCTCTCTAGTGCTTCAAAGATGTCAGGAAACAAATTTGATTCTCAATTGGGAAAAGTGTCAATTTATGGTGAAACAAGGTGTTGTGTTGGGGCATGTAATATCCAGCAAGGGTATGAAGTTGACAAAGCAAAAATTGACATCATCTCAAATATGGCAGCCCCTACTTCAGTGAAGGGAGTGAGAAGCTTTCTAGGACATGCTGGTTTTTATCGTCGTTTCATTAAGGATTTTTCCAAGATCACTCATCCATTGTGCAATCTTTTGGCCAAAGATGTTGTATTTCACTTTGATAAAGATTGTATGAATGCATTTAATACCTTGAAAACGTGAACTAACCTCTGCTCCTATCATTATGGCCCAGATTGGTCTTTGCCTTTTGAGCTAATGTGTGACGCCTCTGACTATGCTATTGGTGCTGTTTTAGGTCAAAGAGTAAATAAGCTGCCACACGTAATCTACTATGCAAGTCGGACATTAAACGATGCTCAACTCAATTACTCTACAAACTGAGAAGGAGTTGCTTGCTGTTGTTTTCGCTTTAGAGAAATTTCGTTCATATCTTGTTGGCTCTAAAGTTATTGTTTACTCTGATCATGCAGCTCTTAGGTTTTTGTTGACCAAGAAAGATGCTAAACCACGTTTGATCAGATGGATACTCTTGTTACAAGAGTTTGACCTAGAAATTCGAGACAAGAAAGGGAGTGAAAATGTTGTTGCTGATCACTTGTCGCGCCTTGTTGATGAAAACCATGGAGATGGACAAATTTTGCCTCTCAACGAATCATTCCCAGATGAAAAACTCTTTGTCATCCAAGATAAAGAGCCATGGTATGCTGATTTTGTCAATTATCTTGCTTCTAGTGTAATTAGAGATGATTTGACTTTTCAGGAGAGAAAGAAGTTCTTTTCAATGGTGTGAAACACTACATGTGGGATGAGCCCTATTTGTTCAAGTATTGCCCTGACCAAATCATTCGAAGATGTGTTCCAGAGAGTGAGCAGCAAAGCATACTAACATTCAGTCATGCATTGGCATGCGGAGGTCATTTCAGTGCCAAAAAGACAGCTTTAAAGGTTTTACAATCTGGTTTCTTTTGGCCTACATTGTTTAAAGATGCTTTTGATTTTTGCTCTAAGTGTGATAGGTGTCAGAAAATGGGGCATCAGTCGCAGGAATGAAATGCCATTAAACAACATTTTAGTGGTAGAGCTGTTCGATGTATGGGGAATTGACTTCATGGGGCCCATTCCCATCTTCTTTGGATACATATACATACTAGTGGCAGTAGATTATGTATCAAAATGGGTTGAGGCAACAGCTACAAGAACTAATGATCACAAAGTTGTTTTGAATTTTCTCAAAGATATGATTTTCACTAGGTTTGGAACTCCGAGAGCTATCATTAGCGATGGTGGGCAGTCACTTCTGCAACAAACCTTTCGAGGCATTGATGAAGAAGTACAACATCACACATAAAGTGGCAACTCCATACCATCCTCAAACCTCTGGACAAGTGGAAATCAGCAATAGAGAAATAAAGAACATCTTGATGAAAACCGTCAGCCCTACAAGGAAGGATTGGTCACTAAGGTTGAATGATGCACTTTGGGCGTATCGCACAGCGTACAAGACCCCAATTGGAATGAGCCCTTATCGACTGGGTGTTTGGAAAGGCATGTCATTTGCCAATGGAGCTCGAGCACCGTGCATATTGGGCCATAAAGAAGTTCAATTTTGATCTCAAAGAAGCTGGTACAGTGAGGAAGCTCCAACTCAATGAGTTGGAAGAGCTCAGAAATGAATCATATGAGAATGCAAGGATCTACAAAGAACGAACCAAGCTCTACCATGACAAAGCAATTCTTAGGAAGGAGTTTCAACCAGGTATGAAAGTACTTTTGTATGACTCACGTTTGCGACTTTTTCCAGGTAAATTGAAGTCTAGATGGGTTGGACCATTCAAAGTGCTTCAAGTATTTCCCCATGGAGCTATGGAGATAGAAAACATCAAGAATGGGACCCGTTTTAAGGTCAATGGACAGCGTTTGAAGCCTTATTTGGAGAATGTTTCACAGGAGCAGGTTTATGTAGTTATGGATTCTCTCGAGTTTATGACAACTTAGACACACTACCATGTCTTGCCTAGACATTAAATAAAGCGCTTGCTAGGAGGCAACCTAGCTGGGTTTGTGTTTCTTCCTTTTATTTGTGTTAGTTTTTAGTTTTTATTTTATTTCATTCCATGCACACTGCCAATTTGCATTGCATCCATTCCATTCATTTTTTTTTAAGCATCGAGGGACAATGCTTAGTTTAGGTTTGGGGGTGTGGGATTTTCGTTTTGTTTAGTTCTGGTTAAAGTTTGCTTTTGCTTACTAATGTGAATGTATATGAGGGCTATGGTTACAATGAGGACTACTGTGTTGTCATGAAAAAGTTCGTATCATTTATTATTTTTTCAAAGCTGTTACTCTTGGAATCATGGTGGTTAAAGTATCATGCTCAAATTCTGGAAGAAGAATTGTGGAGACTACCCTAGAGAGTGATTTTGAGCCTATTTACTTCTTTGAGAGGGTTTAAAGTGTTTGTACTCCTATCTTTTTGCTTCAATTCATTTCAAATGATCTCATTATTTTTGTTTGATTGAACGCTAAGAATTGTTCTCTTTCGCAGATACCATGTGTTTGGTAACACTCATGAATGAACTCATTGAGATGATGTTAGGCTATGCATGTCTTAACCACCAAAAGGCCTAATTTCTTACCTTTATGTGTGTGCCATTACCCCATTTTGAAGCCAATCATGTTTAGCCATTTTCTTTTCTCACATTTTTTTCCCCCATATCCTTTTATCTCAATATGAGATATTTAGCCCATTACAGCTATACCCTATAGTTTGGGGAAATACCAAAGTGATGAAGACAAAGATAATTCGAGCTCTACATAAAGAAAGTGGTGTGTACCGAGGTATGTGTGCTGGAATTGTAGAAAAAAGAAAGAAAAAAGAAACAAAGTTTTAGAAAAGAAAAGAAAAAAAATCAAAGAGGATGTAATTTCTAAATCCTTCCATTATCGCACGAATCCTGGATGCCACGAACAAACAACAAAGATCAATTCAAGAGGAGAGCTTGCTGCTTTCACAAGGAAGACACTTTGGTATGTCCCAAGCTTTAGTATTTCCTATCCTTTCTTTCATAGCCCTGACCTAAGCCTTAACATTACAAACCTTGTGAAAGACCTAGCTGATCTTTGAGGATGTATTCATGAGTGATGCTAAGTATGTGTGCTATCCATATTCTTAGTGTTTGATTCCCTTCATGAGATCTGTCCAGAAATTGTGCTTTTATTTCATATTTCATATGTGAGGATTTTGATTTCCTTTTACATAACTTCACTCACATATGTTTGAGGAGAGACCGTGCCTTAGGATCTGAGTGAAAATTTGAGTGATATCTGTGAGGACTAGAGTTGAGGCGATTCTATCTTTGGCATTTGAGTATGGTATCTTTGAAGTCATGGGACATGGAGTAATTATTTTTTACACTTTATGATATGATTCTTTCAAGTGGCAGACTAGTGGTTTGAATGTATGACTAAGCTTTCATTTGTTCTATTAGTTTGCTATAAGTATGCTTTAACCAATTTGCTTGCAAGTATGCAGATGTTTGTGGGTGTCATCACTGTAAACCCTCAGGAGACACAACTCCTCCTACTAGGGGACACCTAGGGGTTTAAAGGCTTGTTGCACATGCTCAGTGCAATCGTTTAGCCAGCGAAAGTGGTCTAGTTAGATTTTAGTGTCTTGTGTGTTTTCAGTTTCAGTTTTGCTCGAGGACTAGCAAAAATCAGGTTTGGGGGTATTGATAACTCATATATTTATACATTTATACCATCCATTTCTAGTCTATTTGTGATGTTTTTGAGTTAAACATGTTGCGTTTACCCTATTTTGTGTTAGTATGCAGTTGCACCTACTTTAGGATCAAGTTGAAGGCAAAAGAAATCAAAACATGTCATTTTTGGAGCTGGCCATTATTCAAACGTGGAAAGAAATTTCGTGACCTGTTTTGAAGTCCAAATAAAGATCCAAAGTGAACCTGGCTTGTTTAAAGACTAAGAGCGGAATGGGAAAGTAATGGGGATTTCTAGCCTGATTTGGAGGTGCCAAATAAGGCAAAAACGTGCAAAATAAAGGCTGATTTATTAGGATCTCTTTGGAATATCTGACAGCCTCTTTTACCCCATAAAAACTTGCCTTTTAGCCACTTTCACAGACCCTATTTATTTTGGACGAATTTCACAACCCTAGACATCCTTCTTTTTGTTATTCTCCCCCTTTCACACACACTTAAACCCTAGCCGCCCATATATTTCCACCATCAAGACTCATCGCAGGAGGCTGTTCTTGGAGAAGTTCAACATCAGAATTGGTTCAAGGGTTTCCTCTCATGAATTTATTTTCACTCATGTGGTTATTTTCGTTTAATCTTTGTGAACATGATGTGTAACTAAATTCATAGCTAGGGATTTCGATGTAGCCTTGCAAACATTGATCCATGTTTCTAAGTTAAAGTATTCAGTTCATCAATCTGTTTCTTGTTTCATTCACGAATCTATTGTTAAATTTGTTTGTCAATTTTAATGTTTGATCACCATTAGGGTTGCCTACAGATTATCTGTCAAGGTTATTGTAAACATCATGCTTAATCTTGGTAGACATGTGAATGAATGAAGAGAATGCTATGCAAACATCCTGCCATGTGTGTTTCTTCGGTTCTTTAACGTTTTCTTGCATGCTAATGACTCTTAACTTGGAACCAAAGTTGAACATCCCAATTAGGTTGCAGATTAGGAGAAATTTGATCAAAACCACACATCATATGGCTGATCATATATATGTAAAACGAACTCTGGAAACAGGTTGGTAGTTGAATACGGTTTAATTTATAAACATGGAATGGTTTTGCAATGGTGAATTCGAAATCCCTGGTCTCATCCCTATTCTTCTTACATCAATATCTCATTCGCTGCTACATTCGTCTTGCATTTTAAGTTATCTTTCATTTACAACACCAACTACTCTCAATTTGTCACTTTCACTTTTAGTTAGGGTTCTTTCAAAACTAGTAATTTATAGAGGTCCAATCGGTCCCTGTGGTTCGACACCCTTACTTGTACCATTATACTAACCATATATTGGCACTTGGAAGGAACACAACTTAGATTCACTCAAAACCTCACCCCCACATATTCTGATGTTCACAGTTTTGGACTAACGTTCGGTATTGATTGTTTCCCGAACTTGGACCATAAGGTCTTACGAAATTTACGAATTTCCGTCTTAAATGGAGTGGTTTGTTGAATTGCATAGTTTTAGCCATTCGATTTCAGTCACAAACACCAAATGACTCCTCCCAACATATTGATGTTCCCCAAGTTTTGGACTCAATCCGATATCGATTGGTCCATGAAATGGACTATTCAGGTTCGTACGAAGTTCGTTCTGAAATGGAGTGGTTGGTGGTTGCTAGTTTTAGCCACTGGATTTCACTCAAAACAACCAAATGACTCCTCCCACCATTATTATGTTGTTCCCCCGTTTTGGACTCAATCCGATAATCGATTGGTCCGAAATCGGACTATTCAGGTTCGTACAAGTTTCGTTCTGAAATGGGTGGTTGGTGTATTGCATAGTTTTAGCCATTGGATTTCACTCAAACCACCAAATGACTCCTCCCACCATATATATGTTTTTCCCCAAGTTTTGGACTCAATCCGATATCGATTGGTCCACGAAATCGGACTATTCGTTCGTAGCAAGTGTCGTTCTGAATGGAGTAGTTTGGTGTATTGATAGTTTTAGCCATTGGTTTCACTCAAAACCACACCAAATGACTCCTCCACACCATATTCATGGGATGTTCCCCATCCCATTTTTGGACTCAATCCGGATATCGTTGTCCCGTGAAATCGGACTATTCAGTTCGTAGGAAGTTCGTTCTGAAATGGAGTGGTTGGTGTATTGCATAGTTTTAGCCATTGGATTTCACTCCAAACCAACCAAATGACTCCTCCCACCATATTATGTTGTTCCCCAAGTTTTGGATTCAATCCGATATCGATTGGTCCATCAAATCGGACTATTCAGGTTCGTAGCAAGTTCGTTCTGAAATGGAGTAGTTGGTGTATTGCATAGTTTTAGCCATTGGATTTCACTCCAAACCAACCAAATGACTCCTCCCACCATATTATGTTGTTCCCCAAGTTTTGGACTCAATCCGATATCGATTGGTCCATCAAATCGGACTATTCAGGTTCGTAGCAAGTTCGTTCTGAAATGGAGTGGTTGGTGTATTGCATAGTTTTAGCCATTGGATTTCACTCCAAACCAACCAAATGACTCCTCCCACCATATTATGTTGTTCCCCAAGTTTTGGACTCAATCCGATATCGATTGGTCCAAGAAATCGGACTATTCAGGTTCGTAGCAAGTTCGTTCTGAAATGGAGTGGTTGGTGTATTGCATAGTTTTAGCCATTGGATTTCACTCCAAACCAACCAAATGACTCCTCCCACCATATTATGTTGTTCCCCAAGTTTTGGACTCAATCCGATATCGATTGGTCCATCAAATCGGACTATTCAGGTTCGTAGCAAGTTCGTTCTGAAATGGAGTGGTTGGTGTATTGCATAGTTTTAGCCATTGGATTTCACTCCAAACCAACCAAATGACTCCTCCCACCATATTATGTTGTTCCCCAAGTTTTGGACTCAATCCGATATCGATTGGTCCAAGAAATCGGACTATTCAGGTTCGTAGCAAGTTCGTTCTGAAATGGAGTAGTTGGTGTATTGCATAGTTTTAGCCATTGGATTTCACTCCAAAACCAACCAAATGACTCCTCCCACCATATTATGTTGTTCCCCAAGTTTTGGACTCAATCCGATATCGATTGGTCCAAGAAATCGGACTATTCAGGTTCGTAGCAAGTTCGTTCTGAAATGGAGTAGTTGGTGTATTGCATAGTTTTAGCCATTGGATTTCACTCAAAACCAACCAAATGACTCCTCCCACCATATTATGTTGTTCCCCAAGTTTTGGACTCAATCCGATATCGATTGGT